CTTAGAACATATCTAAAACCGGGCATGTAGATACTATGTATAGAAAGGAAGTCCTTTGTTCCTCCGTTAGTTAGCACTCTGAAGAGTCATCATTTCTCATTTTCAAGATCCCCTTTCAACTATTATTGATAGAAGTTTCCTTTGCTCTGATGTCTGGTGATTAATTTTATCCATGTTGTCCTTGATGATGATAAAAGGTCCATGAAGTGTTTTGGGCTCTTCAAAACTACCAGTCTCCAAAGGACAGTATGTAAGATGGTCCATTGGGTTGTGGGAAAAAGATATTAGAACTTTTATTGGTATTTCAGTTTAAAACATGAAATAAACCTTTATTGATATTTAATAAGTGGATTGACACTGGCATCCTTACTTGGTCTGTATGTTCGACTGTCATGTGTCAGGTATAGTCCATGAGGAAAGGATACAGAAGGTTGACAGGGGCACCTTGATTGTATCTTTATTTTCAACATATTGGGATGAATTATAGTTCTGCATGTACCTAGTTAGGTGGATTTATTGATTTAACTAAATCATAACTCACAAAGCAGACAAATGGCATACAAAGATTCCTGCAAAGAAACTATATATTGAAGGCAATACTAATAATGTGAGCAGAAGTGAACCACATGTACATAAAAGTCAGAGCTGATGACTCTCCTACAATTAATGAAGTAAAAATCAATGACAGTCTAATCTCATCTGTGAAGACATCCAAAAAATTTGAAATTATAAAGAAAACAGTTTGATATATGGAATTGTATCCATTATTGTTAACAGTGAAACTTCCTGTTATTTTGTTCCTTGAAATACTGGCAAATGATAGTAGGAAGCCATCATAGTTAAGAAACATCACAGGAAGACGAACCTCCACAGGTTTTTCAGTGACTTTTAAAGTCATGTGATAAATATTCAATATCTAGAAAAATTTCACTAAAATTAATGATAGATATTTAAAAGCCTCTTTTGGGTTTTCTTAAGAGCAAAAGACCAAATGCAATACATTGTTAATACTGTCAGGGACACTCTTGTTCTTCCTGTCCTGTTACAGTAAAGTGGATGAAATAAGACATGGGAAACAACATGGCAACAACGTAAGTGGATTCTTTTGTGAATAAATACTTTCAGATGGAAAGCATCGCTGATGATAAGCATCAAGAATTAAAACAAGTTATTCATTGTGGAAAGATGCTATATAATAAAAGTACAGAAGTTTCTAACAGGGCCCAGATTATCGTATTAATAAGCTAGATTCTGTTTCAGTAATGAAATACATGAACTAAATTATTTTTGGACCACAGAAGTAAAGATGTGTCAAGGAAGATATATTCTCAAAAATAAATGACTTCTTGAATATAAAGCAATGTTTATGAGGGAATTTCCTGGTAGTAATGTTAATGTTCTGATTTTGACAGGGGTTTAGATTGCATATGTATATACATTTGCTGGAACTCATCAAATGATACACTCAAGATTTGGGCATTTCACTGTGTGTAAAATTTACCTTAAAATGAAAAAAAATAATACACATTAAACTCAGGTTAGTTATATACACATTGAACTGTTAGGGGAAAGTATATTTATGTCTTTGACTTACTTTGAAATGCATTTAAAAACATCTAAGATGGATTGATGAATGGATAGAAGGATGGATTGATGGATAGTATAGTGTAGTAGTATACTGTACTATAGTATAGTAACAATAAAATGGCAGTTGCAGAGTCTAGGTGGTGGGTATACGAATGTTCTCTGTAAAACTCTGAATTTTTCGGTTACATCATCCTTAGGCAGTCTATAGCAACACAGAAGCTGATGTCAGATGTGTGAAGAGTGCTTCAGGATGGTACAATTTTTATAAGAACCTGACTGGTAAAGTATTGACTCTTTGTAGTATAGTCTGTAATGAGACGAAGAGTGACCATGAAAGTCATTTGAATCACAAGAGCTTCTTTGGTTATCTCACAGCAAAGATAGTAAAAGACTGTTGGATTTAAATATGGGTGAAACTTTTATTTTTGAGTGAAACTTTTTTAAAATGAAAGGACAAGATATGTCAAATTTGCTGACACTTTTTGTATAACAAGTGGCTGTGTAATATGCCACCTAGCAGATTGAAAATCAAGCAAGCAAGCAACCAATGGAACACTCTTACTCCATCCCTTCAAAGTAAAGGATATTTTTACAATGAGTGCGAAAGTAACTGCTTCTTAAAAGACAGAGATCAAAATACAGAGTGTTTTTCAAATCATTGCTTGGAAATGTTTCTTTTATCATGTGATTTTTGTCATCAAAGATGTGTATCTTGTGAAAACTTTACTATCTGCACACTTTTAAAAACTTTAACAATATTTTCTATACTGTTAAGAAATCTTCCAAATAGTTTCCTTTGATTGTGAAACCAGTTATTAAAAGTGTTAAAAGTCAATATATTTTGATTAGTTTACAAGAATAATTAGTTGAGGGGCTTCCCTGGTGGCGCAGTGGTTGAGAATCTGCCTGCTAATGCAGGGGACATGGGTTCGAGCCCTGGTCTGGGAAGATCCCACATGCTGCGGAGCAACTAGGCCCGTGAGCCACAACTACTGAGCCTGCGCCTCTGGAGCCTGTGCTCTGCAACAAGAGAGGCCGCGATAGTGAGAGACCCGTGCACCGCGATGGAGTGGCCGCCGCTTGCCACAACTAGAGAAAGCCCTCACACAGAAACGAAGACCCAACACAGCCCTAAATAAATAAATAAATGCTCCTGTTCTCTGTTTAAAAAAAAAAAAGAATAATTAGTTGATATGAGGGAAGATGGAAATTTATTAGCCAGAGTTCAACAAAAACTTTTGATAATTGAAAAAGGTATTAAAAATAATGATTTCCTAAGTACAACAAATCATGTATTTCTTTAATTTCAATCCTTGCAGTTTTGCAATTATCACCTTCTCAACTGTAGAGCCATTGCAATTAAGTACTGAAATAAGCAGAACTTAGGAACTAATATTTCAGTTACTGAATTACAAAATATTTAAATCAATATTTAAAAAACAGCATACATAGTTTCATTTATTTTCATTATTATCTTTGCTCCACTAAAAGTGCTAATAAGTTTTTATGGGAGTAAAAAGATCTATACAACTAATATATGTTATGAAACTATTGATTTGTATTGTATTTTAGAATTAAAACAAGATATGAAACTATTTTTAAGTGCTTGTAATCTTTATTTTTTAATCCCTATTTTATGTGGTTTTATACTGCATAGAATGTATTAGTAAAATAGTATATATATAATACATATGCATATATTGGAGGTTCATACTAAAATTTTTTTTTTTTTTGGTTTGTTCGTTGGAGTATGTAATCAAAGAACTTTGGAGTTTTCACTGATCGCTCATGATCTGGCACACTGTTATTGCTAGCAGCAATTATTTATCCTAAAAGTCTATATCATTGTTTTAGAGATTATAAATCAGCACATGGTTTCTAGCTTGTGAGCCTTTGTTTTTTTTAATGTTACGCTTTGATAAATGAAGTTTACCCTTACTCTAAATTCCAAAAACAGTGGTTCTCAAATGTAGAGCAGCATCAGTGTCAACTTATTAGAAATGTAAATTTTCAGGCCCTATTTCAGACCTATTGTTAACCAGAAATGCTGGTTAATGAGCTTGCCAGGTGATTCTAATGTTCACTCATGTTTGAGAACCATTGGCCTCCATGATTTAGACTCCTGGGTCATCCCTTCTTATTTCTTCCTGCTTCATAGTATATCTGAGGCAGTTTCCTCAGATCTCGTATGTCTCCGTCTTAGCTTGGAATTCTGTTCATCTCTACCTGAGATTTTCTTCTCTCCCTTCCTCCTCTTCTTTTCCCTTCTTCCTGTTGTGAAAAATTGTTCATTAGTGTTATCCTCACAGAAGGGATAGTGTTTTGGTTCTTAAAATTAGGATGCCACAGCCGGTATGACAAATAGCGTGTTAAAGGGGATATTTTTAATATTTTCAAATTAATTTTTGTTAACTACTTCCTGTTGGACTCAAATATGCGTGTGATTAACGTCCTATTCTTTTCCATCTATATACTCTTGTTTTTGAATTTTATAATCTCAAAATAGCTTTCCACCAACTAAAATTTTAAAATATACACTTCAAAGTATGAATCACCTAGATTCAGTAATTATTGAATTTTGTTTTATTTGCTTTATCTCTCTTCTACACAGACACACACACACACACACAGACACATACACTTTTATTTATTTATTTTTTTTCTTTTTTGTGGTATGCAGACCTCTCACTGTTGTGGCCTCTCCCGTTGCGGAGCACAGGCTCCAGACGCCCAGGCTCAGCAGCCATGGCTCACGGGCCCAGCTGCTCCGTGGCACGTGGGATCTTCCCGGACCAGGGCACGAACCCGTGTCCCCTGCATCGGCAGGCAGACTCTCAACCACTGTGCCACGAGGGAAGCTCCAGACACATACACTTTTTTTCTGATTCATTTGAAATTAAATTGTATATATCAATACCTTTTACTCTTAAATACTTTTAAGAATAAAGATCAAAGTACCTTTTAGTGGGACTAGTACAAATGTACTAGTACTAGTACAAAATTGTTTTGAAAGGCCAATTTATAACAAATGCTAAACCAGTTATTAAAGCCTCTTAAATATTTTCAAGATCTTTCTATAAATGTCTTAATGAGGAAAAGGTATAGAACTCCAAGTTGTGAATTTATAAATGAATCCTCAAGGCTTTCTCAACCAGTTTTTCATCTGAACTACAGAACACAGAGGATGGTCTGGGTGACTATTTTCTCATTTCTCCCAGGGATGGTGCATAACTAGTACCAATTCAGATGCATAGGGGAGAAGTTAATTTATTACATACAAGGGGCATATTAGAATGTTCTCTCTGGGGACCCAGGTTAGTTGGACTGTATATGTAGCAAGTTCTTAAAAGGATTTTGCTTTGATTAGATTGTAATGTTTATACAAATAACACTTTTTTTTTTTTAAATTTTAGATTACAGGTCCACCAGGTTGTGGAAAAACTCAGTTTTGTATAATGATGAGCATTTTGGCTACATTACCTACCAACATGGGAGGATTAGAAGGAGCTGTTGTGTACATTGACACGGAGTCAGCATTTAGTGCTGAAAGGTGGGAGATTTTATTATTTTTCATTATAATGCTTTATTTTTGTAACTTATATACAGCATGTAACATTTACAAACAAGTTAACATTTTTATTTTTGAGAATACAGAGTGTTAGATACTGTTTTAAAGGAATTTTCCTTTTAAAATTAACACAGGTAGCAATTTCTTTTTGCCTTTTTTATCCCTTTCTTATTGGTTTGAGTGGGGTTCCTGAATAAGCTGTGTTTTGCAGAAAGTCAGGAAGAAACAAGTTTAAGAAACAGAGAGGTATGTAAGTAGAAAATGGAGAAGAGGGGATGTTAATAAGACACAAAAGGTAAAAGCTGCTTTGTAAGTAATTACTAGTTGGAAGTAAAATATTAGTGAATGGAAAAATCGCAATTTTCAAAACATTTGTTGCTTGAGAAATATTTTACTTTAATCTTTGAAATAGTGTGGTATTAAATGCAAGAAACACACCGATGATAAGTATATGCATGCTTAGAAAGAAAAGATTTCCTTAGTTTGGCAAGGACCTTTATTTTAACATTCTATGAGAAAGGCATTCAGTCATTTGTGTAACTCTGTATACCTGAAGATAAGTCTGATCTCCTCTTCCCCTGCTCTGATTGACGTTGATAAGTAGCAGTGCTTTATATATCTAGAGAATGACTCAATTCTGCTTTCTTAGCCAAGGTATAGTATAGGTATAGTTCTTTGGGTCTGACTCTAGTTATGTCACAGTGAATCTTACTTATTTCTCTCTAAGAGTACTACAAAGATCAAAGTGTATTACCTGACCAGATAAATTTCAAATGGCTTATTTTGCCTAGAGCTTATTTGCTTTGTTCTACATCTCTTGATTATCTATTCTTTCTAAGTATATGCCACTGGTTTGTCAGCTCTTTGAGTTTGTGTTATATCTTTGTATCTTGAAAGCCAAATCCTATGACTGACACATACTAACTGCTCAGAAAATGTTTGATAAATGAAGGAATTGACAGGTATTGCTCTCAGATCGTGGAATCCAGATACCATTTCCTACTAAAAGGAACGAGGGTTCCATGGGGGAATGGCTGATTCTAGCTATGGAGCAGAAAGTTTTGTTTGTTTGTTTGTTTTAGTAAAAGGCAAAAGATTTATTCAATCTGAAGAGAAACTAGAGTATTAGGAGGTTTTTAAGTTGAGTCTGAAACATCTTATCTGATGGCAAGAAAGCTATCAAAGACTAGCTAAGAGAGTGTCAGAAGGACTCTGGAGTCAACCTGCAGAGCTCCCACTGGCCAAAGATGAAACAAATTGAGCACCAGTAGAACAATAATAGAAGTTGATTGAAACACATGGAATATGTTTAAATTCATGAGTCTGTAATATTAAGAAATGAAAAGCAGGACTTCCCTGGTGGCACAGTGGTTGAGAATCCACCTGTCAATGCAGGGGTCATGGGTTCGAGCCCTGATCTGGGAAGACCCCACATACCGTGGAGCAACTAAGCCCGTGCACCACACCTACTGAGCCTGCGCTCTAGAGCCTGTGAACCACAACTACTGAGCCCGCATGCCACAGCTACAGATGCCTGCATGCCTAGAGCCTGTGCTCCACAACAAGAGAAGCCACCACAATTAGAAGCCTGTGCACCACAATGAAGAGTAGCCCTCGCTCTCTGCAACTAGAGAAAGCCCATGCGCAGCATCGAAGACCCAACACAGCCAAAAATAAATAAATTAATAAAATGAAAAGCAACAAATTGATCACCATTGGAGAATTCTGGAGAAGCAACTTATTTTGAAAATGAGTTAAAAAAAAAAAAAAGAAAATCAACATTTATTCTCTTTTCAATACGAACTGTATTACTAAGTAACAAATATGTCTTTTTTATAGAAGTATTCCAATAATAAATGATGAAGGAATGATACAATATAACCAAATTATAAACCCTAATAATCTGGTGATCTAGGAACTGAATATCGTGATATAATAAATACATATTTTGTTGTCATCCTGGTTACCGACAAACGAACTTCTAAAACCTTTGGAATTTCCTGAGTGATAGAGCTGAGAGGAGCATAATTTGTTATTCGTAATTAGCCCCTTTCCAACCATACCTGAGCTTATGCTAATTAGATGACTCTTGGTGGGCCCCTAGATTGCATCTGAAGGGGGCTGGTTGCCTGAGGAACTGGTCATGTGATTATAGGGTTGAACTTTCAGCCCTACCTCCCCAACCTCTGAGGAGGGAAGAGGGACTAGGAATGGATCAATCAGCATTCCCATTTAATGAATCATGCCCATGTAATGGAATCTCCACCAAACCCTCTAACTGGTAGGGTTTGGAGAGCTTCTGGGTTGGTGAACACATTGAGGTGCTGGGGGGGATGGTACTCCCGATTTATAGCTGGTTGGTCTGAAGTACCAGAGGCCCGGGACTTGTGATTGAAGACTGAAGTGGGGGCAGCCTTGTGAATCTGAGCCTTTAACCTGCGGTGTCTGAGTTAACTCCTAGTAGTTTGTGTTAGAATTGAATTGACGTCTAGGACACCCAGTTGGTGTCCATAGGGAACTGGAAAATTGCTTAGTATAGAAAACCCACACGTTTGGTGTCAGAAGTGTTGTGAATAAAAACAGTTCATAAACAGAAAAGTGTGCTAGTATCACAAAAAGGCAACCAGTCATTGTGGTACTTGCTGATGGAAGAATAATCAAACCAGAAAGTGATCAAGCTTTCAGATCCAACGACCAGTTTACAACATATACACATAAGAGAGCAACATATGAAACTACACCCGAGGGATGTAATCAGAAAATCCAAACTGTGGAAAACAACAAACAACAATTTGTAGGATTAAAAAAAAAGAGTTGGAGGATAAACCTTTGGATTAAAAGAGACTTAAAAGATGTATTGAGGACATTTAGGTTGCTTCCATGTCCTGGCTATTGTAAATAATGCTGGAAAGAACATTGGGGTGCATGTATCTTTTTGAATTATAGTTTTCTCAGGATATATGCCCAGTAGTAGGAGTGCTGGGTCATATGGTAGTTCTATTTTTAGGGAACCTCCATACTGTTCTCTATAGTGGCTGTATCAATTTACATTCCCACCAACAGTATTACTCAGCCATAAAGAGGAATGAAATTGGGTCATTTGTAGAGATGTGGATGGACCTAGAGTCTGTCATACAGAGTGAAGTAAGTCAGAAAGAGAAAAACAAATATCGTATATTAGCGCATATATGTGGAATTTAGAAAAATGGTACAGATGATCCTATTTGCAGGGCAGGAATAGAGTTGCAGACATAGAGAACAGACATGTGGACACAGGGGGGAAGGGGAGGGTGGGATGAATTGGGAGATTAGGATAGACATATATACACTACCATGTGTAAACTAGATAGCTAGTAGGAACCTGCTGTATAGCACAGGGAACTCAGCTTGGTGCTCTGTGATGACCTAGATGGGTGGGATGGGTGGGAGGGAGATCCGAGAGAGGGGATATATGTATACATATAGCTGATTCACTTCATTGTACAGCAGAAACTAACGTAACATTGTAAAGCAATTATACTTCAATAAAAAAAAAAAATAGAGCTTAAAAAAACGTATTGGGCTTCCCTGGTGGCGCAGTGGTTGAGAGTCTGCCTGTCGATGCAGGGGACACGGGCTCGTGCCCTGGTCCTGGAAGATCCCACATGCCGCAGAGCGGCTGGGCCCGTGAGCCATGGCCGCTGAGCCTGCGCATCCCAAGCTTGTGCTCCGGAATGGGAGAGGCCACAACAGTGAGAGGCCCGCGTACTGCAAAAAGAAAAAGCAAAAGCAAAAACAAAAAAAATGTATTGCTCACATCACATTGTACACCTTAAACTTACACAATGTTATATGTCAATTATATCTCAATAAAGCTGGGAAAAAGACATAGTGATCAATTGTAATGTGATGAACTTATTTGGATCCTTAACAAATAAATGGTAAAAAAACAACAACAACAGAAGCATAAACATTTGACACCACTGGAAATCTGAACGTTGAAACATTTGATATTAAAGCTGATACAGACAAATATATTTGATGCTAAATCTGGTAAAGACACTGGCTCACTCAGGTTGTCCAGGTGAAAGGTACTCTTTAAAATGCCAATGACTAGCTTTCAACTCATAAGCCAAGAAGGTATTAAATAGCCAATTAGGTAATAAATAGCTAATGTATAAATAGCTCTTACAAAGGTCCTGGGGCATTTGCTTAAAGAATTGAAGGATTAAGGTTATTCTGATAACAGCAGTTTAGTTCACTGTAATTGGATTCTTGCTTTTTTTGCACCACTTTCAAAGCTGAGTTTACAATGTCTTCTTAAACTGTTGCATTATTTCATTGTTATCAGCATTACAGTTAAGAGTAGGTTAAAAACCTATCAGTGAATTAGGTGAAATCCAGTAGCAGGTGACTAGTCTACATTCTCCGTATTAATTTGTGGAGATTTTTGTTTTTCTTTGTCTTTGCATTTAGTCTAATTGGCTACTTTTTGCATTCTCTGTATTAATTATTTTCCTTCATTATCTTTTCCTGCCTATGTACATATTACTTAGTACTTGCATTAGAGGCAGGCTGGAAAATGGAGTGGTAAAATTTTTGTCCCTTTTGTTGGAATTATGTTGCATAATTCACAGGGAACTCTTATGAAGGTCATTTGAAGACAAGGGTTGAGATTTATATTGTTTTTATTTTTCTAGTCTATTCTCCACAACGCTTGAAAAGTGTGATGATCTGGTGCTAGGATCAGGTGGAATCAAAGGTCCCTATGCTCTATGCTCTTTTGTATAGATGCCAGACTTGGTGTTCTTTTAGTGACTTCTGGAGTTCGTCATGGCAGGTCAGAGCATGGAGCTGGCTCTGTGATGCTTGGTCACATTTCATTTGTGCTGTTACAATATTGTTTGATTCCTATTTGGAGTTACTGGGGAAGGTTGGTCAATCAGTTAGGGAAGCTTTCTCCTGCAAGCAACTGGATACACAAAGAACAGCAGCTTAAACAA